TTGTAGTTTTAGATTTTTGTTTCTCCTCTACGTCAGGAGTCAGTCTGTCTTTTTACCATGTGTGTCCCCAGGATAGAACTCAGGTTATCAGACTCACTGGCAACTGTCCTAACCTGCTGAGTCACCTTATCAGGCCTCTTTGACTCTTTTAAAAACTGACTTGTCACTCTGCTGAGATCCATCCCCCCCTTTCTTCATTCCAAGTGGTTTTAAACCCTGTGCAGAACAAACGTTTCTTCATATGCTTGGATTTTGCAAAGGATGCAGAAAGAAATGGATTTCTGTTTGCAAGTCAGTCCTGTAGGTATCTTAACAATTCCAAGCCCGGCACCATACATGTTTCTCCACTTGCTAGGAAGGATTTGACTTCATGAGAATTAACCCTGAGCAAGCCATGTAAAGTTATTACATGAAGAGTCCATCAAGTTTGCTCACACCCTGGGGAACATGCTGCCTCTTACAGCTGCTCCTGGTTTAGAAGAAGCACCCCCCAATCTGCTCTGAGATATAAGAACTGTTCAGAAGTTTGAGTTTCACAGAGAATACACTCAATGATCCTCCAGTGGCAAGAGGAAGATGAAAATTGAGCAATGTGTTCTTGAGGGCAGTGGATAGTGTGCACATGTGCTCTCCCCCTCTCTTCCCTGAAAGTAAGCTCTAGAATTCTTTTTGTTAGGTCATACTATTTTCTAAAAAAGAAGTCGCAACATCTGCCCCCACATAAAAACAAGTACTCAAATTCTGGGTGAAGGCAGGAAATCCTGCTTGAGCTCCTGCCTCTGCTCCTGGCTGAGGGCCAGAAGAAACACAATGTTGGCAGAGAGTGCATGCCATGCGTGGGCTGGATTCTGTGGCCTTGCCTCTGATCTTGGTTGCTATAGGAAATTTGAAGTTAAACTCCCTAGGGAAGATGGCAGAATACTGTTGGGCTGGCCCTATGGATGGTGCAGGGAAACCCTCCAGCACATATGTAGACTCTTTGGTGATTAATTAATTTATTGAGGCAGGATCTGACTCTGTATGCCAGGATGTTCTTGAACTCATGGCAATCCTCCTGCCCCCTTCTTCCTAATCATGTAATTATATACATAATTCACAATGCCTGGTTTGATTCTGTAAATTTTAAAGAGGTCCCGAGCTTTCTCCAGCAAGGATGCTTTTGTGTATTCTATATATGCTTTCATGTGTTCTATATACACTTAGTGGAGAGGGTCTAACCCTTCTTCCTCCTGTTTGGACACAGGGTTTTGGGGAAAATGTCACATTACATCCACCATAGTGTTTTGTTAAGTTTATTTGCATTACCTGAGGTGTTACCAGTCCTACAATAGTCTCCTAAAGAAATATCCCCCCAATAGCTACAACAATAATGTCATCATTGTAGAAAATTTGAAACACAGAAAAATCTCATAGAGAAATGAAAGCCATTCATAACTTCAGTGAGAAGGATGAAATGTGGTATTTGTTTCTCTCTCTCTGATCATAGGCTCAATTTTCGTAAATTCTCTGTGTTGTTTTTATTTACATAAATGTGTGATAATTTTCTGCTAATGGTCAGTTTGCTTTTGCATTTTATAGTCACCCCACCCCAAGTCCCACAATAGCTCTTTCAACATTAGGATTGCTCCCTTGGACATCTTTCGCCCATATTCCCCACTTTGGTTTCATTTTGACAGCTATCAGAGGGGGGAAATAGCTTTACAGGAATATTAGAATCCAGAAGGAATCTGTGACATGTTAGGGTCTACAACCAAGGTGGTTCCTTTGAGAAGGTAGCTTGGTACCCTAGCTGTGGCTTCTGTAGAGAAGGAGCTCTCATCATCAGCTGCAACATCGTTTAACTTTTAACTTTCATCTGCCACCAATTTCATCTACTAAGGGATGGGGAGGAGCTAAACCTCACTGTGTTTCAGTAGGTAGGCCCAGGAGCTTACTCCTGCCTGTGGCTGATGTTACAGCTTCACTGTGGTCATAGGAAGTATACCTGCCCAGGGGCTCTGCAAGAGACATACTTTACCATGTCCCAGGAAGCAAGTGCTGCCTTGGGTATCACTGGGAGCCTAAAATGGCCCTCTAATGTGTCTTCAGCTCCATATATACATGAGCTTCAGATATAGCCTAGAGGCCCCACTCACTCAGGGACCTGCCAGGAGGCTTGCCCACCTATGTCCCAGAGGAAGATCCATTAACTCTGAGAAGGCTACAGACCATGATGTGGTACTATGTCTTAATTCTTGCCTTTCTTAGCTGTGGTGTCTGAATGTCCTACTCACCTAGGGGGCAGCCAAGGACCTCGTGGAATGGACACCCATTCATCTACCTGGTATAGGTATTTCTTCTTTGGGCCTGTCTGGACTCTAAAGCAGATCCTTGATTCAGAGACAACCCATGCAGTACCCATGCCAGTTCAAGTTTTTGACAACAGGTCTGCTACAGTGCAAACCCATCAGTGGTCATGTGACATGGCTCTGATCCTACTATGCAGATCTGGCAGTAGTCATGTGACTTGGCTGTGACCCTACTGGATTATAATCCTAGAGGAAGTCCTGTTAGACTAGGACATCATGAAAGAAAACCAGTTGTTATAAAACTTGACAAGCTGGGGTAATAGGAAATGGAAATCAAAATATCCACCCAACAAAGGTGGGACAGACATCCATATGAAAAAAAAAAACACTAGCAATGATCTAACTTCAGCTGCTTAGGTTCATTATAAGAATACATACAGTGTGAATAACCAATATAATATGTCCCCTCCAAAACTCAGTTCTCACATAGTAATGTTCTCTGAGAAAAACATCTTTAATGAAACACAAGATAATTATCTCAAAAAGCAATTAGTAATATTTTCAAGGAATTAAAAAAGATATTAATAAATGCCTGAATGAAGACTACAAAAACACAAATAGCTGAATGAAATAAGGAAAACAACTAAAGACATGAAAATAAAATTTAATAAATATAATTTCCGAAGAAAGCCCCAAATGAACTAAAAGTTGAAATAAAATATTCAGTAAGTCAAATTCAAACTACAATGGAAAACCTCCCCAACAGAATGGATCAAATGGAAGAGAAGACATTAGGGCTTGAGAACAAGATAGAGAAATTAGATCAGTTAGTTAAAGAAAATGTTAAATCTAAAGTAAAACCCATGAAGGGGATGTGTAGGGACTCTATGGCAAAATGATTAATCCTACAAATCAGATGATGATGATGATAATGATCTAGGTCAGAGGCACATAAAACATCTTAAAGTCATAGAACAAAAATTTCTAAACCTAGAGAGAGAGATGCTATTCCTGGTATAAAAGGCATACAGAACACAAAATACACATGACTTGAAAAGAAACTCCCTGTGTCATGTAGAAGTCAAAACACTAAATTCACAGAACAAAGAAGGTATATGGAAAGCTTCAAGAGAGAAAGACCAAGTAGGCACTTCAGAATAACCGCTGACGTTCTCAATGGAGACGTGAAAACCCAGAAAGGCTTAGACAAGTGGTTCTCAACCTGTGGGTTGTGACCCTTTTAAGTTGCATATCAGTTATTTACATTATGATTCATAACAGTAGAAAATTATAGTTATGAAGTGGCAATGAAATAATTTAATGGTTGGGGGTCACCACAACTTGAGGAACTGTGTTAAAGGATCACAGCATTAGGAAGGTTGAGAGCCACTGACTTAAACCAATGTTCTACAAGTTCTGAAAGACCACAGATGCCAGCACAAACTACCTTCCAAGCAAAACTATCAGTCATAACTGAGGGAGAAAAAAGTACTTTCCATGATAACGGCAGGCTAAGGAATTTTATCATTGGCAAGCCAGTCCTACAGAAAGCATTGGAAGGAATACTTTGAATTGAACTAAAGAAAAGATTGATAAAGATATTCAAGGGGTAATAGCATATAAATGTTGATGTGTGTGTGTGTGTATGTGTGTGAGTGTGTGTGTGATCAATGACTAAACAAAGCAAGACTAAGAACAAAGAACAAAACCTAGTAAGAAGACAGTAATCCACACATCTTTCAGTAGTGACTTGGGACATCAATGGTCTCAACTTCCCAAAGCAGGTTGGTGTAATGCATAGTTTTCTCCGCCAGCTGCCTGGGCCCTACCGAGCTGTCTGAACCCCCAAATAACACACAAGACACTATATTAATTATGAAGCTGTTGGCTGTTTGCTTGGTTTCTTATTGGATAGGTCTGACTTGATTATTAACCCATAATTATTTATATATATTTTACAAGAACTTATCTTTGCTAGGACACACTCCTGCCGCATCTGTTCCTCCCGGGAATCACATGGCAACCAGCCTCTTCACTACATTTCCCAGAATTCTCTTATCTTGCTTCCCTATTGGCCAATAGTGCTTTATTGACATAAGCACAGGACTCTCCCATCAAGTTGGTTTAGGGGAGAGGGGCCCCACATCATCGACTCCACCTGACAAGCACCATCCTGAAACTGGTTTGGAATTACACTGCTCGACACAACTCTGGACCAGAGCCTTAGACAAGAGCTTCAATCAACATTAGAACTTCAAAAACTTCAATCAATCATCTCCAGCCAACAGAGACTGAATGCATATGAGACTCTTGTTACACTAACTTTTTTTTTCCTACAGGATCCCATGAGGTTGTCATCATCCCATTTCAGCAGGAAGTAATTTTGAAATACTACACCCCCTTTCCTTACTCTTGATAGTGCAGGATAGCTTACATCTGATAGGGTTAGTTTTCAATTATTTAGGGTTGAAATTAAAAGGGAGTGCTCAGATTTGGGCATCTCTTTCAAATAAGTTTAAGGTTTAGATGGGATAGATATACTTAGGGTAGGATATAAATAGATTATAATTTGCCCATCATCTTCTATGTATATATGCTGGATATGTTTGAGTTTTGTATAAAGTCTAAACCTTTTATTTAGACTAAAAGGGGAATTGTAGGGAGACACCTGGTACATGCAGCTGACCACGCCCCCTTGGGGTGTGGTCATGCGTCTGTGGGAAGATTCAGGATATAAAAGAAGGAACAGGTGGGCCCTCTCTTTCTCTTGGAGGCTGGCGGTACTTCGGAGAGAGCTTCCCATGTAAGTGATTGCTCCCTTTAATGTCTTTGTTTCCCCATTGCATTGTTTCCTTATCAGATTGGATTGAAAACGAAGTTTTATCATTTGCTGCCTCTAAGAAATATGCCTCACAATTAAATATAGAAACCACTTTAGAGTGAAAGATTGTGTAAATGCTCTAATGAAACCAAGGAAAAAGCCTAAGTTGTTATTCTAATACCCAACAAAATAGACTTCAGGCCTAAAATAAACAGAGGAGATAGAGAAGGTCCTTCATATTGACAGAGGGATCAATCAGTCAAGAAGATCTTTACACTTACTAAACATATATGTACCGAACTCAAATGTTCCCAACTTTATTAAACTAGTATTTCTAGATATAAAGCACCAATTTAACCACAACACATCAATAGTAGGTGACTTCAGTGTCTCCCTTTACCAATGGGCAGATCATCCAGAAAGAAAAGAACAAAGACAACGAATTTGGTAAGTAGCTAGCAAAGAGCAACTTTCACACACTAGGAGAAGTGAAAACGCTGGCTCTAGCTTTTTTGTAGGGCAGGAAGCCGTACAATGCAATATTCCTCTAGTGACATAGAGTACGCTCCAGGATAGATCACACGCTTGGCCAGCGATCAAGGATTAACCAATTAAAGGAGATTTTAACAATCAAAGATTCCTGACTATAATGCTGTGAAACTAAAAACCAATAATAGGAAAAAAGGTAGAAAACTCAGGATTCATAGAAATTAATCATTATGTCGCTGAACAAATATTGGATCAGGATCAAAAAGGAAATTTAAAAAATTACAGCATAAGCATACGAAAAGATGCAGTAAAAGCAGTTCTAAGAGAGAAATTTATGTCAACAAAAGCCTATGCTATCTAAAAGAAATCCCTGAAATAGATAACTTCACAGCTGAGGGACTAGGTAAAAAACAACTAAAGCCCAAAGTGAGTAGAATGGAGGAATAGTAAAGGTTTCAGCAGAAATAAATGAAACAGAGACTAAAAAACAATTAAGACAATAATTGAAACTCAAGAGTTGCTAACCAAAAAAAAGAATTACTAACCTAAACCAGGAAAAGAAGGAGAGAGGAAGAAAGAGCGAGAGGGAGAAAGATGGAGAGGGAGAGAGAGAAAACATAAATAAAATTATAAATAACAGAGGAGACATTAATGGTAGCAAAGACTCACCACATTACAAGAGGCTATTATAGACAGGCTAAGAACCTGGACACCCTAGAATAAAGTAACTACTCCCCAACATCTATTGATGAAGAAATAAAAATATCTGAACAAATGACTAATGAGTATAGAGACTATATACATATTTAGAAGAACCAGGGTCCTGGCTTATTTCCTTCAATTATTAAAGATTTTCAATGTCATTCGAAAGACCAAACTTTTTCAAATTCATTTCATAAGACTAGAATTAGCCATGTATTCAATCTAGATAAGGAGACTACAAAAATAGAAAGGACATGCCAATATCTCTGTTAAACTTTGCTGTAAATCCCTTGACAAAATAATAGCAGATAAAGTTCTGAAAAATGCTAAAATGATCATATATCACCAACGAAAAGGATTCATTTCTGGAATAAATGGTTCAATATGTACAAATTAGTAAAGATAATATATTGTATTAACCATGAAAAAGATAAAGTCATAGGATCATCTCAATAGGTGTGGGTAAAGATTTGATAAGACCCAATATAATAAAAATCTATAAATTGTATTTACCAGTAACATATTAAACATAAAGGAATCTGAGTATGATTCTTTTACCAGCTAACATTATACTTGATGTTGGATAGCAGAAAGCTGTTTCTCTCAGGTCGGGTAAGAGAAGGATGTCCCACCCCCACAGCTTCTGTTGAGCACAGCATTGGAATTCCCAGCCAAAGCAGTTAGTCATGAAGAAGAAAAACTATCTAAACCAGAAAGAAAGATGTTAAATCGTGTCTGAATGTAGGAACAGTTAAAGATTCTACAAACTCCTTTCAACTGATAAGCTCAGTAAATTCACAAAATCAACCTACAAAAACTCAATTGCATCTCTACAAACTACTAATTTACTAGTGGATAAGGAAATCATGAAAATGATCACAGGGTAGTATCACAAAGAGCAAAACACATAGGAATAAATTTAGCTAAGCAATTGAAGTATCTGCAAACTTAAGTGTGGCATGTTGATGAAAGAAATAAGTTACAGGGAAATACCATGTATGCATGGATTAGAATTAAATGTGTCCACACTATCTCAAGTGACTCATGAATTTATCCAATCTGGATAAAAATTCCAATAGAATTCTTTACATAACTAGAAGAAAACCTCCCTTCATATTAAATTGTAACAAATTGAAATAGATTAAATTTGGATGCATTATACTTCTTAATTTCAGACTACATTACAAATTTATAGTAATTATAACATGTGCTGGTATAAAAACAAAAACAGGTCACTGGAATGGAGAACCTAGTCACATGTACACACATGTGTTCTAAATTCATCAGGAAACAGACTCTTGAGTGAATAGTCCTGGGGAAGGAGGTACACGCACAGTAGGTGAAAATCTAGCCATGACTTTATACAGTATGTGAAAACACGTTCAGGGGGTCTGGATCAGTGCCATGCTGGCCTCTCAGCCATCAGTTTGCGAATCATGAACTCTCCCTTGTACAGGTCAGCTGTTTCTGTGGGTTTCACCAACCTGGTCTTGACCCCTTTGGTCATCACTCCTCCCTCTTTGCAACTGGGTTCCAGGAGTTCAGTTCAGTGTTTAGCTGTGGGTGTCTGACTCTGCTTCCAACAGCCACTGGATGAAAACACTAGGATGACATGTAAGGTAGTCATCAATCTCATTATAGGGGAAGGGCATTTAAGGTAGCCTCTCCATTATTGCTTAGATTGCCAGTTGGCATCATTCTTGTAGATCCCTGGAAATCTCACTAGAGCCAGATCTGTCCTCAAACCTATAATGACTCCCTCTCTTATGGTATGTCTCATCTTGCTCTCCTCTATTCTTACCCCGACTCAACCTTCCTGTTCCCTCATGTCCTCCTCTCCCCTCCTCTTCTCTCCCTCTCTTGCTCCCAGCTACCTCTCCCCTCCTCCCAATCTGCTCAGGAGATTCTGTCCCATTCCCTTTCTCTGGGGTACCATGTGTATCTCTCTTAGGGTCTTTCTTGATTCCCAGATTCTCTGGCAGTAGGATTTGTAACCTGGCAATCCCCTTCTCCATGCCTAAAATCCATATATGAATGAGTACATACCCTGTGTGTCTTTTTGTAACTGGGTTACCTCACTCAGGATTGTTTCTGATGGTATCTAAAAGTTATTTTGATTTGTATTTCCCTGATGGCTAAGGATGTTGAGCACATTCTTAAGTGTCTATCAGCCATTTTAGACTCCCCTATTGAGAATATCTATTTAGTTCTGTACCCTGCTTTTTAATTGGATTATTTGGTATTTTGGAGACTAGCTTCTTGAGTTCTTTGTAAATTTTGGAGATCAGCCCTCTGTCAGATGTGGGGTTGGTGAATATCTTTTCCCATTCTGTGGGCTGCCTTTTTGTCTTGTTGACTGTGTCTTTGCCTTGCAGTTTCATGAGGTCTCATTTATTGTCGATCTCAGTGTCTGTGCTACTGGTGTTATGTTCAGTAAGAGTTTTCCTGTACCAATTCGTTCAAGGGTACCTCCCACATTTTCTTCTAAGAGGTTCAGTGTGGCTAGATTTATGTTTTCTTTGATTCATTTGGACTTAACTTTTGTGAATGGTGGTAGATATGAATCTATCTGCAGTCTTCTACCTGCCAACATCCAGTTACACCAGCACCATTTGTTGAAGATGCTTTCTTTATTTCATTGTATACTTTTAGCTTCTTTGTCAAAAATCAGGTGTTCATAGGTGTGTGGCTTAATATCAGGGTCTTCAATTCAATTCCATTGGTATACATGTCTATTTTTGTGCCAATACCAAGCTGTTTTCATTACTATAGCTCTGTAGTAGAGCTTTAAATCAGGGATGGTGATGCCGCCTGAAGTTCCTTTATTGTACAGGGTTGTTTTGGCTATCCTGAGTCTATTGCTTTTCCATATGAGGTTGAGAATTGTCCTTTCAAGGTCTGTGAAGAATTGTGCTGGGATTTTGATAGGTATTTCATTGAATCTGTAGATAGCTTTGGTAAGATTGCTATTTTTACTATGCTGATCCTACCTATCCAAGACCATGGGAGATGTTTCAATTTTCTGGTATCTTCTTTAATTTCTTTTTCTAGTGACTAAAAATTTTTGTCATACAAGTCTTTCACCTGTTTGGCTAGAGTTACCCCAAGATATTTTATGTTGTTTGTGACTATTGTAAAGGGTGATGTTTCTCTGATTTCTTTCTCAGCCCATTTATTGTCTATTTATAATAGGGCTATTGATTTATTTGAGTTAATCTTGTATCCTGCCACTTTGCTGAAGGTATTTATCAGCTGTAGGAGTTCCCTGGTAGATTTTTTTAGCGTCACTTTTTTAAACTATCATATCATGTGCAGCTAGTGGAAGTTTGGCTTCTTCTGTTCTAATTTGTATCTCTTCGATCTCCTTTTGTTGTCTTATTGCTCTAGCTAGAACTTCAAGTACAACATTGAAGAGAAATGGAGAGAGTGGACAAACTTGTCTTGTTCCTGATTTTAGAGAAATCACATTGAGTTTCTCTCCATTTAGTTTGATGTTAGCTGTTGGTTTGCTGTATATTGCCTTTATTATGTTTAGGTATGTTCCTGTTATTCCTGATCTCTCCAAGATCTTTATCATGAAGAGTTGTTGAATTTTGTCAAAGACTTTCTCAGCATCTACTGAGAAGACCATGTGATTTTTCTTTTTCAGATTGTTTATAAGGTAGATTACATTAATGTTTTTTTGTATGTTGAACCATCCCTGCATCCTTGGATGAAGCCTACTTGATCATGGTGGATGGTTTTTCTGATGTGTTCTTAGATTTGATTTGCCAATGTTTTATTGAGTATTT